TTGTTCAGGTGGCTGGTGACACCTCAAATGATGGTGCTTCCCCAGCAGACCACAGCGTAGAAGAGCACGCCGGCCACTGTGGGCCAGTAAAACATCCTCAGCGGCTTGCTACACACATCCAAAGACCTGAGTTGTCCTCTCTAACCTTTCTGGTAGAGCATCACTACAGACCAGTCCATTGTGCTATTTAAGTGATCCTTCAGGTACTTGTAACACCCACACATCCTCCCTCTGGACAGTGATTGGTCTCAGGGGCTCCTTGCAATGCCAGAAGTCCACCACCCACTCATTTGTCTTGCTGATGTTGGTCTGCAGGTTGTTCACCCTGCACCACAACACAAAGTCCTCCACTAGTCCCCTGTCCTCTGACTCATCCCCATTGTTGAGGCATCCTGCAATGGTGGAGTTGTCTGAGAACTTCTTTAGATGGCAGGAGCTGGAAGTCTGACATGTTGTGGGTAAACAGGAAAGGTAAAAGGACGGTTCCCTGAGGTGCCCGAGTGTTGCTCACCACCATCTCCAGCACCCGGTCCAGGAGCCCTAGAAACTGTCATCTGTTGGGCAGGTTGTCCATGATCTAGGAGACTGTGGGGCATCAAGCTGCACTGTCCTGAGCTTGTGCCCAAGTCAGAAAGGCTGGATGGTGTTAACGGCCTGAGACCCCCTCAGCTGACGCACTGAGGCTCGATTGTGGGAGGGCTGGACTGGCATGTGAGAATCAAATCTGTTGAAGGACAGATTCAGCCCATTAGCTCTGTCCGTGCCCCCTCCCACCACAATATTTTCAGCCTGCCTGTGGCCGCTGATGGTCTTCAGCCCATTCCACACTTTCTTCACAAAGTTCTGCTATAGCTTGTGCTTGAGCATGTCGCCGCAGGATTTTCTTATCCCTCGCAGAGCTGAATCCTCAGTTATGGCTGCACACACTCGTGCTCCAGGCCTGATGGTCCTCTTCTTCTCATTTAACCCGGCCTTCAAGCTCTTCGTGATTCACAGTTTGTTACTCGTGAAATCAGTGCACTGTCTTTGTGGGGACTGTGTTATCGAAAAGGAATCGGATAGAGTCTGTGATACAGTGGCTGAATTCCACAATGTCCTAACCATGTGACTCATGAGACGCATTTAAAAATTCTTCATCTATCTGCATATTAAATCTAAGGTTTTACACATATATTATTTATTAAAAACCTCAGTTGAAAGACAAACTAAACCCTGTCCTATTGGCATTTTTGTCATTCTTTTTCTTTTTACTCAGAGTGGCTGCTGACATTTTATGGCTTTGATTAAGCCCGTAAGCTGCTAGAAAAGCATCATTATTCTGCGGAAAGTAAACCCTTCCTCTATTCCCAATTAAATTGGGTGGTGTCTGTGACCTCTAAAGTGCAACAAGATTTGATTTAAGCAATTGAAGCTATAGATCTTACTTCTGATTTGTGCTTCTGCCAAAATATTGCTGACTCCATTTAAAAAAATCATGCCCTCGCAAAAACTAATATAAGAAAAAAGCCCCGGAGCAAGTAAGAGAGGAATAAAAATAATGCAAGATACTTTGTTTTCAGATGGAAGTTTCCATTGAGGAAAATGAATTTTCTGATAATAATGTAACATATGAAACATTGATGATAGTGGAATTTTAATGGCTTTGCCTTTTCTGATGTCTGGTCTTTCACAATTGTCTATTGTTCTTTTTAGTATTGCTGTAATGACTTATTATTGTCAGATTGTTGTCTTGTGTAGGAAAGACATGGAATATCCAGAAATATCCAGATCCATTCACCATTTGTTCATACAGAAAAGCCCCAGACGGGGCCCAATAATTTGTAGACTGGAATTGAAATTGATCACTTTCAGTACTGTTATTATTACGTATCATAGATTTCTTTTACTATAGATGAATTCATGCTGTGGTCTTGCTCTGAATAATAAGCTGTGATGTCAGCTTTCCACTTTGAATTACATGAGAAGGTTCTTTAAAGCAGGGGCAGTGTGGTGGCGCAGTGATTAGCACGATTACCTCTGGGACCCGGGTTCGAGTCTCCTTGTGTGTGGTGTTTGCATGTTCTCCCCAGGTTGTCGTGGGGTTTCCTCCAGGTACTTCAGTACCCCCCTGAATCCAGAAAACATGCCCCATCCTGGGTTATTCCCTGCCTTGTGTCCATAGCTTCCAGGATAGGCTTTGGGGTACAGGGGATGGATGGATGGGTTCTTTAAAATACCAGTTGAACATGTTTATTGGTACTTTGTGGTAAGTTATTTCAAATTGTATATTCTCTTGCAATTCCTACCAAAGACTGATTTGAATGTGGTTAATTCTTAGCTGGATCACTCTTTTGTTTCATAACACAGCCTCTTAATATGTATAAGCATGGGTGTTTCTTTGACTTTATGGACAAATTAATTTGACCAATTTGGGGCGGGCTGTCAGCTAACAATGTTATTTGCTAGTGCAGCCTTCACACTATAAATGAGGATGAATCAATGTAATTGTGTGCCGCTCACATCACTGTTGCTTTCCTGCCCTGAACTTAATATGACTTCAGAATGGAATCGCATGCATTCAGAAGGAAAAAGATTATAGGTAGGTACACAACCTCTGCTTTTACAAGAGATTTATTGTCATAATTATGACTGGTTTATTGAAACAATTCCTTACCAATTATAGCATAAATTTCGTAAGTTTACTTTTAGCACAGTTAATAATAATAATAATAATATGTGGAATATATTGATTGAAAAGCTATAGGCCTACTTATTGTTATTCATATCTTATCATAATACATTTATCTCAAAATATATGATTCAGAATGTCTTTATATTATTTCAAATGCTTAGATATAGTACAGCTGAATGTTGGATCATTGTGACACCGTTACACCTGTCAAAACATTTTTTGGTTGCATTGAGGACAGCCGGACTCCTCTGGCTACAAGAAATTTCTTACAATAGTAATTAAATTGGCATTAATGAGGCTTGTTTCTCATTGCATGCATGCATAAAAACAATCATATTTAGTGGATCAGTATTTTTTTAAGCGTTATTTGAAAGCCGACAAGTATCTTGGAAACGGTCACCATGATAAATACAAGATTAACATATGAATTTTCAAATCATATTTCAAATTCTTTATCCCATATATTTCATGATCAAATACTTCTATTCCTTTGGTCAGCCACAGCTACATTACTTTGCATATATAATCTATTATGTTATAGATGATTTGAAAAAGTACAACATTAGTATTACAAATGTAAATGTTTTTGCCATCTCTGGAACACAAAATCATCACATTTTATTAGGTATGTACAATTCTGAAGAAATATTCACTTCAAATACTATGAAATGAGTCAGTGGTTTTTATGCGGATTTATTGTTAGGGTAATGGTGTCCACTACTGGCAGAAATAGTAACTACAGCGTTACGGCCAGTTGGCATCTGCAAAGCGTTCGCAGATGTTGGCATAACACATTTCAGCATTAAAAACTCAAAAGTGGACGTGAGACGGTGTTAAATTGTATCTGTATTTAAGTATAGACGACCATAGTTGTGAATTGCGCAAATTAAAAGTATTGACAAGAATAATTAGGCATATTAATAAAGATTTTAGGCACTGATATTGAAAACACAATAATTCAGATCTAAATATGGCTTTATGTAAGATTTACTGTCAGTGTGATTTTATATGGACTTTAATACTTATATAGCTACCTGATTAAACGCTACATACACTAAAATTTATATTGAATTTCAATGAAAGATGTGGTGAATATGGTTTTATTATTATTATTAGTAGTAGTAGTAGAAGTGGAGGTAGTAGTAGTAGCAGTAGTATATGCATCTAATTTTTCAGTGCTGACAGGGACATTTCCTAATAATGTAATTGTCTTGGGTCTGTAATGGTAGGCTTATGTCTGAAATAAACTCATCACTGTGTTAGTGGAACATCGGGAAGACCGATGTGCTTGACGAAACGAAACTACACTGGTGTTATACACATTTTCATCACAATCCTACTAGTAGGTTATTCAGTCATTATTCGGCGTACACCACTACGTCTTGCTGTAATTTTTCGAAATGCTTACTTTTTATGACTTACAAACGGTAGATGGCTCTCTCGAGTTTTTCTGTTTTGCCTTTGAACATTTCAAATGATCATAATCTAAATTAGAATCCACCTTCGGTTCGATGTATCATCGAGTTGTAGTGTGAAGGTCATCGGGTGTATTTCAGCAGCCGTTATCTCTAAAATGAAAATGAATGAAATATAAATATGAGATACATAAAGAAATGTAGGGATGCCTCTTCATACGCTTCGCGATCAGCCTACTTAGACCGGAGTGCTGAATATGTTAAACGATTAATATTAAGTGTGAGTTCGCTAAGCCTAAACACTGAGCAAGTGTAGTGTTATGCTTTAACACAGCATACACAGGCACTGCCCCTGCTTCTGAAATACGTGGTTAAGTTCAAATTCCCGTTCAAATGCGTGCAAGTTGTCATGTTTTATGATATATCTATGCATCATATGCATCATATCGATAAAGCTATAATGGCTTTTTAATGATGAGCTTTAAAAATGGAACAGTATATATGTAAGCGATTGGAGACACCCGCCGGTTCTTCAGGTTATGATGAATAAATATAACGTAGAACTATTATAGGCTTGCGATCGCTTATTGCATTGCTCTTGGATTCGTGTGATTATGCACGTATCGAATTGAAGCCTTCTTCCATTAAAATGATTTCAACTTCTTTTTCAATGCAATAAGATTATTATTATTATTATTAAGTCCATATCCTATAACTGGAAAAGTTACGTATGGCTTTATACAAGACGTATTTCTGTTTTAAATAAACACACGAGACAGAATCAGTTCCATATTATCGATTTTAAATGCTTGTGTTTTACAATAATGTTAGGATTAAAGCCCCTTACCAACGCCCAGTGCTGTGTGTGACAGTCCCAGCGCTTCTCTGTTATCATCACGTTTGACTGGGGGCGTTAGTCTTGCACAGCTGAGGCTGGCTTACAAGTGTTGAATTTTACTACCAGCTCACACCATAACCAGAGTGCATTTCTTGAAACAAAGGTTTTTTTTTAGCTTCGATTAACCGAAGAATTATTTCCCCTGAAACCACGGCAAAGGAGGAGTAAGTCGTTAAGACTTGTTGATACGCAGGATGCATTGATCTATAAACTGAGATGAAAAGCTGGTGTCTCTTTTCTGTAGCGCAGGAGTCAGTGCAATACAAGGGAAATGTTATGCATGGAAAAGGAATCGTGTGCTAGCTCGCTGGACCTGCTGCCTTCGGAATAGTTGATGATGACCGGTTTAAAACGAAAATCGTATGGTTTTGTGACTTGGGGACCTTCTTAAGTTTGTTATTTTTCTTGCATCTTGCTGCCACGCTGGGCAGACGTCATCCTTACAAATCCGTGGCTTTCCATTTTTTTTTGGTTACATCTTCATTTGATGTAACATTATCGTGCTTTTGTTTGGGGGGGAGACCCGTTCTATTGAGTTACTGGAGCGTAAATTACAGCGCATTATTACGGCGTGACAAATGATCATTTTCAGTGATGCTGGGACTCCGGTTTTACCTATGGCTTGTCAAAATGACGGACACTGTCAAGATGAATTAGAGCGCCGGCTAACAGTCATCCATTTTACGAAGGGTGACACGCATTGATAAACTTGACAATGAGAGCAGAAACAAACGACGTAATTTGACAGCCGCACCTGGAAGACGAGCGGACGTCCTTCACGGGAAACACACACATTAAAATAATTTCTGTTTCTCTTAACACCAAACTGCACACTTAGGGCTGGAAGCCCTGAAACCTCTTGATTGATAAGGACAGAGGAGACAGTGGGAAGATGCAAAAGTACCAGACAATATGGGATTTAAATTAGGTTCTTGGTTGTGGTCCCCGTTTGCCATCAATGGAAAACGATTCTGCTAAAATAAAAGCCCGAAAAGACAACGTGAAGGTATAAGTAATTCTCTGTCACCTCATTGTTTTTCATGTTTTTGGGGACTCTATAGCTACGGGGTGTTTCCCCGGTGAAGATTAGTATCAACAGTGTGGCGTTAACGCATTTGGAAGTATGAAAGCACATCGTTTAATATCGCATTTAAAATGCACTCTTCGGACTTTATCGAAAGGAAACTATCTGTTTAACTAATAGATCAAAGGTCATTTAGACAAAATGGGACAGTAGTGAAGCACCCGAACAAAGGTGGTTGTTTGTGTTGAACGCTTTGTTTGTGGCGGCGGACAGCTGTGTTTTCTGAGACATGGCAGCGGCGATTGCCAGCGGTTTAATCCGGCAAAAGAGGCAGGCTCGGGAGCAGCATATAGACCGGCCCTCCACCCACAGGAGGAGGAAAAGCCCCAGCAAGAATAAGGGTCTCTGCAACGGCAATTTGGTCGATATCTTCTCCAAAGTGAGAATCTTCGGTCTCAGGAAAAGAAGACTACGGAGACAAGGTGTGACGATCAGTACTTTAAGTTATAGAGCACAAGTAATAATAAATAAATAAAAACAACAATAAATCAATTTATTAACCATCCTTTTGATGCTCATCGATGAAAAATATAACACATTTTATTAGCTGGTTAGGCTATATGTCCTTGAAACAGTTACAGCTAGTGTGCACGTTTCATAGAATAGTGCGATATAGTTTCCATGTCAGAGAAATCCAGTGATTTTGCAAGAATATTTGCAAAAGTGAATTTTGTACGTTATATGAAGAGATTGTTAATGAATTGCATTTCTAGATGAAATAACTTATTTATTTATTACTAGAACTTGGGGTAGGAATGTTACTCGAATCTTCTCAGTCATAAATTCTTAAATTGGTCTTTCCCTAGCCACCTGCAAATAGATTAATGAACGTGCCATTCATTAACACAATATTTCAGTTACGTAGGTAAGTTCCTTGAGTTGAGTCAGATGTTGCCAAAATCTATCTTTCTAAATGAAATGTCTGTAATGTCTGTATACACTAGGGTATAATAAATGTTATTCGTTTTTGAGATTGTATCAGATATGCAGCAGGTGTTGTACATGTTGCATGTTGTTATTATTGTCGTTGTTGTTGTTGCTTATTGTTGTTGTTGCTGTTTATCTTATTACACTTATGGAATGAGGGGGATTATTATATAAATCGTACTCAGGTTTACACCACTGTTAGAATTCACTTAGAACTTGGCGGAGGAGTACTGGGTGATCGAAACAATCAATCTTACAGATTTTTCTCCTGCAAACTCTATGCTATTCTTGTGTAGTTAATATTACTTGGAAAGGGTGCTTGACAGACAATAACCAGATGTAATGCTGATTGTACATCTGACAGTGACAAGGCTGACAGCTGCTAATTACGTTCGCATAGTAATGTTTGCTTTGGTGCAAGCCGACTGCAAGAAGTGCATTCTTTCATTTCACAGTTACATGTTAGTATTAATGGTTGAAACTGACACAAAACACTGAAAAATGCCATTTAGCTTGTTTACTGCAATACCTCATGTGTTACTCTACTGCCATACTACAACTGATGAAAATTAATATACTATTTAAATTAAAAATCTTTTGTCAATTATGGAAAAACAGTAATGCTTTGTTTAAAAACAGATACATTTTAAGACACCTTTTAAGAGTGCCAGTGCCCATAGGAGACTTGGTGTGATAAGTTGCATTTATCAATAATAATATTTCATCCCATTTGGTTCTAGTCAGAGGTATCAGATGGGGCTTTTTGCTCAAATAAATTAAAAGTAAAAGACATAGCAAATATGTTGAGAAACTCAAGTGATGAATCATCCTGTCAGTGTATTGACAAACATACAAATGAGTAACGGCCATTTTAGTTCAACCAGTGACTATTACTGCCCTGTAATTCATGGTGCATAGAATTTTGTTTTGAACGGTTTTAGGGTTCTATATCTAACAAATTTAAACCATTAAGATTATGACAAATTCTAAGTTTGCATTAAAAGATTTTTTTTTTTACAAATGGTAATGGGGGTCTAATTATATTGGAAGTGCAAGTTCAAAGGCTTGTTTTGAGTTGACTGTGGGCCTTCCGGGATTTACTTCTGAATCTGAATTATCATGAGAAATAATTCTTCGATACATTTTAACAATAGCTAGCAGAAGCAAAAGAAAGCAGTCATATGTACTAAGGAATATAAATGGTTCTAGTTATGACCTTCAAAGGCAATTTCATGCAAATATACATGGATTCAACATTTTTAGGCAGAGACACTGTAAATGTAGGGAAAGATGACACTATTGCAGAGCCTAAACAATTTGGAACCTTATTTGACGGGTCTGTGTTGGGGGCCCTATAAGATGCGTTTCCATGGGGCCCAAAATCTCTAGCAACACCACTGGTTATAGGATATTAAAACAGTGTGAAACAAGAGTAGTTTGCATTTCTGTTATTAGCTGTTGTTAGCTGGAAATATGAAGCAGAGAAGGGTGTCTTTGATCTGATGGACGTATGAAGAGTAGGCCTAGTTACATAAGGTATCACATTTATCATTGCTGAACTTCTTTCAGAGCTAAAATAATCGTGGCTGTTGCATTGCTGTCGTTCTTAATGAAGCATCAGTTAATGTTACTCAGCCAGACCCAGGTCTCTCTGTAACACTGACAAATATGTCCAGAAAATGTCATTAATGGTCTTTAAGTTGAATGCTATAGTGACTAGATATGATAGATTGCCCAGCGGTTCTCCTAGAATTGGAAATACAATTTCTTTTTGAATATTACATTGAACTTTGTGCATGGGACCGCATGGACCTTTCACTTTATAATCTCAGGTGCTGATATTGGAAACAATGTTTCACTGTAAATTGGTTTGCTTGTAAATTGTTGTATATGGCATATTACTCCACTGAAAGGAACCGTCTGTGTGGTGAATTATGATACAGTGTTGAAAGGATACAGCAGTTGTTTATTTTTCAATCTGTAGGCTTCTAAGAAATTGTATTATCTTTAATATTTTGCAATCACTGGGGGCCACGTGAAGGAAATTGAAATTGCGGGTAGATTCCAAAGACCAGAAAGATTACAAGTAGCATTCGGAGGAGAGCTCTCAATGCTTAATCAAAATGTGCTCCGTGCTGTTTTTGTTCTAAAATATGGAACCATTATAAAAAAAAACACTACAAAAGGCAGCATATAGACATGTGATTGCACTGTACAGTATATGACACAGAAATGTAACGAGCAGTTTACGAAATAATACTAGACTTTACATTTCAGAATTGCAGTTGAGGAGAAATGAAAGAACAAATGTAAAGCAGAATCTGTGTTGATAAATATCAGATATGTAAATGCAGGCCTATCTCCATGGAAACAGGAAGGTGAGGGAGGTGTTTTTCCTTTCTAGACTGGAAAAGCCCCTCTTGTATTCCAGAAATGGGGAAAGTGGGTCAGTCCCATCTTATGTTTATGTCTGCTGCGGCTGTGTGCAGCAGAGCGTGTCCTTTCTGTATAATGGTTAGCTTTGCCTTTTGGGAGTCTGTATGTGGGGGGTGGGGGTGGGGGTTCCTATAACAGCCCCAGTTGTGCTACAGGGAGGGAACTCTTACTGTTGTGTGCACACAAACACATAAACAGAAAAGTGGTTGGAATGCGCTCTATTGTTACTCTGGGTGTGGTATCTATGGTGATGCAGGGGATGGCATGTTTCTCTGGGCAAGCGGGAGACAGACGGCACTCACATGAAGCAGCTGTATATGTCATGTCCAGTGATCTGGTGTGAACATTTTCAAGTGCAGACGTCACCTTATATACAGGATCTATAGGAAATCCCTTTAGCAGCGGGTGAGCAGAATGTGCAGGATGGTGAGAACAGACTCAGTATGCACCAAATAATGGTAAATGGACTGCATTTATATAGCGCTTTTCTACTCCTACAAGTACTCAAAGCACTTTACAACTCATGCCTCACATTCACCATCCACACTCACATCCACACACCAGTGGCGGAGGCTGCAAGGCGCCAACCTGCACACCGGGAGCAATTTGGGGTTCAGTGTCTTGCTCAAGGACACTTTGATGGGGTCAGGAGGAACCAGGGCTCAAACCTGCAACCCTCCAGTTGCCAAACTATAGCACTACCATCTTCCCCTATGATAATATGATTAAAGTAGAAATAAACCTAATTGTAAAAGGCTTTATAACATTTATTAATTCAGTGTTTAATGTTCTAGATGCACAAAATATAGTTGAGGACCAAGGAGATATTGAGACCACATGTTATTTATCTTGAACTGGCAGAGTTTGTGTTACAATTAGCACATTTAATCCATTAGGGAATGGTGACAGGAATTAATCTCACTGCTTCTGATCACATGATAAGGGAAATCTACACTACAGGTTTCCCGGCTGATACTCACCCATGGAGATAATGTATGCATCATGTCAGCCTCAGAAATGCACACAAACACTAAATTGTATGCTTCTAGTTTTCAAGTCATCCATGCATAATGTCCCCCAGAGATAGCCTCTGCAACTGCTATTGTTAACATTGAGGTAATGTAATTATCCATCCATCCATCCATCTTCTAGCTGTTTGATTTGGTCAAGGTTGTGGGGCAGCCTGGAGGTTTATATTTAGAGTCATGATTATCTAGATCAGCCTTTTCAAAAACTGATCATACATACACAAAGCATCCGATTAATGCTGCAGATAAGGTCGAATAAGATAGAATAGGTGAGTGGTGTAACAGACTCAAATGTGAATTCAGTTTGAGTCCTATTTAAGTCATACATAACTCCTTGTGTGTCCTTCATTTGCATACCTACTATAGACTGATAGGCCATAACATTAAAACCACTGGCAGGTGAAGTGAATAACATTGATTATCCTGTTATGATGGCATCTGTCAAGGGTGCCATTATATTTTTGGTAAGGGAACAGTTGGTTCTTGAAGTTGGTTTGTTTGAAGCAGAAAAAAATAACAAATGCTAGGATCTGAGTGGCTTTGACTAGGGTCAAATTGTGTTGGCTAGACGAGTAGGTCAGAGCGTCTCCAAACAGACAGGTCTTGTGGGGTGTTCCTGGTATGCAGTGATCAGTACCTACCAAAAGTGGTCCAAGGAAGGCCAACCTGTGAACCGGTGATGGGGTCATGGGCAGCCAAGGCTCATTGGTGCGCATGTGAACAAAGGCTAGCCCATCTGGTCCGATCCTACAGGAGAGCAACTTGCAGAACGCACAGTGCATCACAGCTTGCCGTGTAACTACAGACCACGTGCCCATGCTGACCCCTGTTCTCTGCCAAAGGCACTTGAGCATCACATCTGGACCATGGAGCAACAGAAGAAGGTAGCCTGGTCTGATGAGTCATGTTTTTTGTCACATCATAAGGATGGCTGGGTATGTGTGTCATTTACCTGGGGAAAAGATGGCACCAGGATGCATTATGGGAGGAAGACAAGCTAGTGGAGGCGGTGTGATGCTCTAAGCATATGTTCTGCTGGGAAATCTTGGGTCCTGGCATTCATGTGGATATTACTTTGACACGTACCACCTACCTAAACATTGTTGCAGACTAAGTACATCCCTTCATGGCAACAGTATTCCCTAATGACGGTGGCCTCTTTAAGCAGGATAATACACACTACCTCACTGCAAAAGTTGTTCAGGAATGATTTGAGGAACATGAAAAAGAGTTCAAGGTGTTGACTTGGCCTCCAAATTCCCCAGATCTAAATTCGATGGAGCATCTGTGGGATCTGCTGGACAAACAAGTCCAATCTATGGGGTCTCACCTTCGCAACTTACAAGACTTAAAGGATATTTGGTTGGTTTTAATGTTATGGCTGATCAGTGTGTACACCTGCATATGTAAGAAACCTCTGAAATAAGGAGACTTCAATTTGCATTCAGTGCCTTTCTTCCATTTAACTTTCCTCCTTTGATGTGTGGGCTTCATCTGGCTAGGCCTTGGCACAGGGTACCACACCAGTCAAGAACAAAGGCGCTTGCTTTGTAGAATAAAAGGCAAGCATCCATCCAAAGGGAATCACTTCTATCGTGTGGCTTAAGTGGCACAGGACTGATTTTGCTGGGGAAACAAGGTATTGTAACCCGGCAGCAACGTTGATGGTAAGGTGCTTTTGGGCATCTCAGTGATGAAAGGACTATTTATGTTTAGGTAGATTCACTGACTCATAGTAAGCAGTTGCTGGCTTGGCTCTGTCATTTTGGCTTTAAAGCTTGATGCTGACTTGGCAGTTTGAATCTGTGTTTGTTTAATGACTTGAAAGGGACTTAAGAAGCAAAGGTGAATTGTTCTATTAGCAAGATTATTTCAATGTTTTGCATGAAGACACCGATGTATATAAAAAGGAATTGTATGAAATCAATGAGCTGCATTTCCTCTTATTTTTTGGAATTATTTGCTTGGCCAATACAGTATATAAGCTACTTAAACAAATGATAATTCCTGACATTTTCAGTTGCTTGAAAATCTTGAACTGGGACCAACAAATATAATTGTATGTATCTCCATGTTAAATTGCGTTGTAAATGTAGGATCTGGATACCAATAATATATGTTATGACCTGTCTAGGGGTGGAGGCTGTAACAGAATAAATGAAATATCATTTTGTTTCACTTACCTGTACTGGCATCCCATCCAAAGCGTACTCCTGCCTTGAACTAGCTTAGATGAATCGATTGTCCCGTTTCACCTGCTTGCTATGCAGTAGCTTCAGATGAAGTCTGGTGCTCCATTTCCTTCGGACATTCAAAGATCATATCTGAGGAGACATGTCTTAGTTACACCCATTTTAGATTTAATTAGGCCAAAGGGACTTTGTCTGATGAAAGTATGGGCCTAACTATATATAACAATTAAACGGAAATGTTTTAGGAGCTTGCTGAAGGATTGCAGAAACTCGCAGATGAGGCGTAAGCCAAACATCCTTATAAACATTATTGAGAATTATGTGGATCACATAGAATCACCTAATAGGCCTATTTAAATATCAGTGTCATTCAATATGTGTTAATATAAGTGCATATTACATCTTCAATATTAAAAGCAAGGACATACACATATTTGAGTATGGATTGTAGGGACATTATAGCAGGTGTCACGTGTGTTTTGGGGTCTGGGGGTTGAGGCTGATCTATCTCTAAAAATGTTGAAACCAAACCTACACTATTGATTAAGACCTTTTGTGGTGTAAAAAAACGGTCTTATGGAATCTCGTGCTTCTCGCAGTAACTTTTCACTTTTCAGTGCCATTACTTTTGAATTTCGAATGAGTCCAAGTATTATTGGCAGATTTTCACATTTGTGGGGATCTTCCGTGCCTTACCCTCGTGAATGTCAGGGGTGACTGTAAGATTCTGATTCTTGTTTATTAGATTTAAATTCATTTGTTAAACATTCTGCACCCAAAATCTGTCTTAATCAATAATATATAATCAAAATATTGTTTAAACATACATCACTACATTCAGTTATTAGAAAAGATATGCTGTAATATATGTTGTTCAGATCGATTATTTTGTTTGCAGAAGCATTTTTATTGTGTCAAATTAAGCAAAATTTACTTTCTTGCATTTTTTATATACTGATTCCATTATACGTTTTAGCTGTCATTCTCAATATACATCATTCTTAACAAGTAAAGTACTAATTTTATTTAATTAATTCAGGATAATAAAGAAACCATTTGCATGTTAGGACTCATGCACACTATCCTTTGATGAAACATTGTTGAGAATTAGCAATATTTATCCACACTGTATCAATTGTACAGAGGTGTAAACATGACTTCTCTAGGCCATTAAAACAGCAGTCACAGATTAAAAACCTAAGAAGCATGAACCTTACCATAGTTTTCAAAGAGGCAAAGGCAATTTCAACACTAGCACAAGAGGTAGGGCAAAATCCTGTAAAATAATAAGAATTGCACACCACATATCCACCATATTTATTTTAAAAATTGCGTAACATTGCCTGAAAGAACTTCACTCGCAGTGGCTCAGATTTCCTTTGAAAGCCGTATACTGACTGCTCATGATTAAGTAAGACGTTATAAGACAGCCAACTCACATGAAAGGCTGGTGAAAATCTTGCCGCTAGAGCTGTCTTCTGCACTGTGAAATGCACAGCCAGCCAAATGTAGGAGCTGGGGAGCCATTTCAAAGCCCATGTCTCCCACATTGCCAGACTATTGCCATTCTCCTCCAAATTCATTTGAATTGCACTCAAAACAAACAACTGGCTTTAAGTAACTATTTGTCAAAGTGATTAATACATGTGATACAAACTGTAATTGTAATATATTACAGTCAAAGATTACTTGAAATGCAGGCAGCAGCATATTATTAATGTATATTGATAAAAGATTAGTTAGTATTCATGCCGAATGTATTGAATGCTGAAATCCACAGCACAGTAATTCGCTATTTTGTGGCCGCGTGTTTTAATGTTTTACACTGAACAATGATTTGAAGTCAGGCTAAATTTGACATTAACATTAATATGACCAGTTACTCAAAAACAGAGAAGCAACCTTAGATGACTTATAAGGCTGATCTATTAAAATTGTCCGGTGAACTAAATCAGCCCATGCCAGCAGATGAATACTGACGAATACTGATGAATACTGATGAATACATGGTCCGGGGCAGAATCCCTCGCCATTCATGACTGACTTAATGATTTAAATGTACCCTTAGGATTGGCTCGAATCGGTTGGATTTTGTCTTTAATTTCCTTCTTTTCAAATGATCCGAGTCATTTCTAAATTACCTGGGATTGCCTAAATTACCTATTGTAAATGATCCGTTTATTTGAATATGTCAATATATAATATCAATAAATCAATATATAAAGTCAGACTAAATTCTTATTAAATTTTGACTCTTGATGTTGCTTAATTTTATTGATCTGTTATCAATTGTGATCGATGTCTGTTTACACTTAGCATTTACTGAACAATCTTTGCTAAAGAATTCTATGTGTTTTAATTCTACATATTTTAATTTGTGATAAATTGTTGTTTATTAGAATTACCTGAAGGTTGTCTAAGGTTCGCAGAGTGGATACGCCCTCCTGAATGCTAAACCATAATAAATAAAAATATGGGTGATGGGTAACCCCTTTTTTCCATTGTTAACCCTTAGGGGGTGCTCTTGAGTTTCTCATGAGTGCCACTGTAAAATCTGTAAAAATCCAAATCCTGTCTAAAATTTCTAAAAGCAGCTTAATTAAAATGAGCTTGCAATATCTTCTCATAAAGCCAATAATCATAAAAGTATTGTGTGATATTAAAACAACAATTTTGCAGTAGCTCTGGTAATATTTGGCATGAAGTGGAGAACTGAAATGATTGTACAAGTCTACACTTTTTGTAACATGTAAAACCTTCAGCTTTTCTTTAATCTAGTCTCATTTACCAGTTTACAATAATTTCTTCTTTCAGATCCCCAGCTCAAGGGTATAGTGACCAGGTTATATTGCAGGCAAGGATACTACTTGCAGATGAACACAGATGGATCTCTGGATGGGACCAAGGATGACAGCAGTAATTCTTGTAAGTTTTTTGCTTTACTTGTGTATTTGTACTTGTATGTATTTCAAATATGCAAGATCATCATGCTGCATAGTGCATTGATGTGTTACAGTCAAACTTAAATATAAGGATGCCATTGAATGTATTACAACAATCAGATTACTGTTTTAATGTAAAGTTTTGCTTACATTTCAAAGTATATGAACATTTGTGTGTGTGTGTGTGTGTGTGTGTATACACATGAATGATGGGATGCATAACAACATTGCAATAAAAAAACAAACAATAAAATGTTAAAATGTTTTGTGCTCTCTGATGACCAAAATTACTTGAGGAAGTACCTGAGGATGGTACAAGAAATATTCATATATTGGGGTTTAATAAGTACCTGTAAACCTGGCTGGACATTTTTTGTATTTAAATCACTTGGCAGAGCATCTAATCATTAAAAATAGAATTAGCAGAACAAGAAAAAAGCTGAAGAATCACACACTATTAAAACTTTGGACGGACGAATCACACACTTGGGTGCAACTGCAGTAATATTCAAGTTACTGTGATGCGTAAGACTACACACAAATGCTAGGACAATGACACATCCTTTGGTACTGTCACATCTCTTGCACCATTTACCACAATGCGTCAAACAAGGTCAGTGGCCTGCATTAAGAACATACTCACAGGTGTGTCCAACCTGGACTCTAGCTATGATTGCCTTATTTGTAATCTTGTATGTCTAAAAATACCTAATAAGTATATGTGCTTATTAGACATCAAATCAGTTTATAATCAAAACAAACTGTACAGCTTCATACCCATATTATAGTCTATGTATATTGTACTATTTATGGTAGATAATGTGTTGCCTGTATTTAGTTATTACTGTTGGAGTAGAAATGTATATCTGTAATTATTTTTTGGACAACAGATTTACAGTGAACAATGGGAACCAGCCCATTACTATCTGTTCAAAACCATATTATACATTTTTATTCAACTAGGAAAGACACAGATGCACTTACCAGATTAATACAGGTTGGTTCATTGTAATTCAAATTAGCCATGCAGCTCTGCTTTGTTTTCCTGTCAGGATGATTGTTCATTAATACAAAAAAACAATAGCTATTACGTAATGTATTCAAATTGTGGGGCTAACAACAGACAATGTGTATTTTCTGTTCTGGTCTTTTTTCTTCAGCGTAACACTATATTACTGTAATAGTTCGGACTACTTTTGCTGAGATATGTTGACTTAGCGTGCCACTTCGATTTATAGCGTTGTTCAACCTCATCCCTGTGGGTCTTCGAGTTGTCGCCATCCAGTCCGTAAAGACGGGGTTATACATCGGCATGAACGGAGAAGGTCACCTCTACACATCAGTGAGTAGTCAGTTGTGTTTCTGCTTTTGCTACTGCTGTAAGGTCAAGGGATATTTTGCTAGCTATCTTTATAAGGAGTTGAAATATACCTTTCCATAATAAAGCTAAATATATAATAGTATATATTAAACTATGAAATGCTGAAATATATAGTTTCCAGATATATTTTCAAGAAATGTTACTTGAAGTACTCAAAGTGTGTTGTTTGATTTCCATTGAAATTTAGCAAAATCTAATATTGTATTCACTTCAGCAATAAAAGTGAGTCTTTCTGGCTCGTGTATACGTTCCATTTGCTATGGCAAATGCTCTGCGGAAGCTGAGTTAAGAAGCTCAGATGCATTTCCTCACTGAGGTTAAATCATTCGTTCGCAGGACTCACATGAAGGCGAAAAAACTAGGCCAGAGGATAAACAACAAATGCAGCATGACTTCCTTAGGTTTCAGAGCTCAGACTCACCCTCCATATCTACCTCTAAAAAATTCACTTCGGGATGTTCAGCAGCACTGTTTTTCTGTCGATATATATTTTCCCTAATTTCAGTAACATTAATTTTTACACTGGCAGGATGCCTTCATATATGTTGATGTAAAGGGGAAAGGCTTAAATTAAATGCTGGTTATAATCAGTAAGAGATTATGCTATGAGGAGGATTGACCTAGAAGATTTGATAGCTTAGTAGGATGCGCAATTATGTATTTACTTAGATTGATGTAGTCCCATTTTCAAAATTAGCAGGTGTTCTGGTGTTTCATTTAGGATTAGTGTCATAAATTTTATGGGATATTCTTCATACCCCTAATATAATGTTTTGGTGCTTTTTTTGGTGTATTTACCAGTATTGATCACATTTGAGAAAATTCTGGTAAAATGTTGACCATAAGATGGCAAGAGTTCTGAGCAGAGGCCCCTGGGCATTAACCCAGGTAAACCTGTGCATTAAACTGTCCCTGGTGATTGGATATATTGGTATGTGATTAACTGGCTTCCTATGCAGGGTGCATCCGTGCCCTTATCCTTTCTGAGATAAGTGGTTGAAAGATGGATTGACGTAGTGGGTAAATGCATTCTTTAGAAAAGATAACAGCACGATTGGGTTTTTCCTTAATGCAGATGCGAAAAACAGTGGACTGATGCCAGTATTTATTGCTCTGTTAGACACCTGATCAAAGCCTTGTCACCCATCCTTTGTCACCCACAATCAATTTAGCTGCCTGCGCTAAGCTCAGTCTCAGTTGCTATTATGTAATGTGTGGCAGATGTTTTTCTTTTTAATGTGTCTAATGCAAGGCTCCAGGCTCAGTGTGCCCCTACAAGGAATAAGCAATATGGAAACTTTATGGATCATTGGGTTTTACATAGATTTTGCATAGCATTTAGTCATTACACCGTTGTCTGATTGTAAATTGTGTTAAGCAGTTCCATAATTATACAATGGAGTTTAGCTATTATTCAGAGACTGAGTGATTTACATGTTGAAACAGGATTTGCCTGTTACTATGAGTTAATAGTATTAATCCTAGTCATCATAAGGCATGGGGCTGGGGTATGACCTGGAGAGAATGCCTGTTTATCACATACACGCACACAGTTGTACACTGTGGGAAATGTAGATGCAGGTTAACTTGTGTCAGGGATGGGAACAAGTCATTCCTTGGCGAGTCTCAGTCAAGTCTCGAGTCAGAACATTGCAGTCTGTGTCAAGTCTCGAGTCATTGCCCTCAAATCCAAGTCTTTTCATGATTTTTGCAGTCAAGTCATCAAACTTGTTACTCGAGTCCAAGTGGAGTTGTGAGTCATGTAACTTGAGTCCCTACCTATGCCACTTTTTTACCTTTAGTGATTAAAACTTGCTGCAGCAAAATTCCACCACAATACATCGTGGGATATGTTCTTTATAGGCGGCTCTCCTCACACAGTTTCTATGTCTGTGTATGCAGAGAGGGATGCATCTTTCCAGCAAACTATCTCAGGAGACCTTGCATTCAGCCAACTGAAAGTGCAGACAACAGAGAATTAATATATACTGAAATTATAAGATGAACGTTATGGTATCCAGAAGGGGGGGACTATAACCTCAAGTCTTCTCAAGTCATGGGGTCCAAGTCGGGTCTAAGTCTCAAGTCACTGCCTTCAGGTCCAAACAGAGTCCAAGTCTTTCCATCAGTTTTGCTGAGCCGAATCACATTAATCAAATTTGTGACTTGAGTCCGAATTGAGTTGTGAGTCAGTGACTCCAGTCTCCACCTCTGGCTTGTGGGAGTTCACAGTACATGGAGGGACATGCAAACTCTAGGTACTCAGAGTGGCAGGATTCAATTCAAATCCCTAACCCTGCACATGTGAGGTAGCGCTATTACTCACTGAGCTGCCATAATCATATTAAATGTGAAAAAAAATGCTATTTAATTACATATCAAAATCAAATCACTTTTATTGTCACGTCACTTGTCACCAGTACACAGGTACTATACTTGTGAGTGAAATGCTTGTGCGCAAAGCCACTTGAAGCAGCCATAGTATGACACAAATCAACAATCAAAATATAAGTATAAATATATAACACATAAAACGCTAAGTGCCAAAAACATTTACAAGTTACCAAGAACATACTGTAAAAAGTGGGGTTTAAAGCTTCAAATTTGCATAGCAAATTTCAAGCTCTGTGCTTCCAAAACAGTTATATGTGTAAAATACGCATAGGGACTTGACAAATTTTCTATTGTCAAAAGGCAATCGTCTTTTCTGTTAGAATCGTTTCTGTTAGAATAACCTCACAGGTAATATATATATATCTCATAAAAGGTTACAGCATACCTGAGAAGCAAAGCTAGAGACTGAGTATGTCATACATATTGGTTCACTCACAAACATAGCCATACAATAACATTGGAATTTATATAGACACCAAACAAAACCAAACAAAGAAATTATTCAACAACATCAGTTCTACATAGGGGCAGTCCTCAAGTTCAGAACATCTGACTTACGGACAACTCATACTGACTACAATAAATAGCCAATTATATTAAATATTCGGATTAAATACAATAGTTTGTAATAACGATCTCACACTCACACACTACTTTGTGCAAACGTTGCACGGCTTCAGCAGTTTGTCAGCTTGAAGTATAGTACAGTACCGTATGCAGTGACCTGTATTATTACAATATTATTATTGTTCCAATTTGACCTACAAATTCGACTTAAAGTCGGATTTTGGGAACGGATCTCATTCGTAACCTAGGGACTGCCTGTATATACCTGTCTGTGAACAATTGTTCTAATAAAACGATTAAGCTTTATTGACTTAAAGATAGAAGCTTTGCACAGTTTCTCTGGCTTTCTCTCAATGCAGCATATCTACTCAAACCCTCTTCACCTAACCATTTTCTTGGTCAGGGTCACACGAGACCCAGATCTTATCCCCGGGCAGCTTAGGGCACAAGGCCAAACACCCTACTGTAGTTGTGATGTATGTAACGTTTCATAATTATTACCATAGATTGTAAGAATGATTCATATTTCATCGTTTTCTTGCTCATTTTTGTATCCACAGCATGATTAACCTACTATTTCATGTGATGTAGTGGAAATGGAAAAAATGACTTGTCCAATAAGCCTTTACCTCTGTGATTGTATAGGAAAAAAATACACAAGCTTTCTGTTTTGAGGTCATGCTGATTTTAACATCTGCAGTACAGTGCACTTGGTTTTTGGATCCATCCGTCCTCCGACAGCTAATTCAGCACAGCGTTGTGGGGAACTTGGACCCTTTTCCAGGAAGCGAAGGGCACAATTTAGGGAATCAGCCCTGCTGGGGTTCCAGTCCGGAACGGTGCGCACACACACCAGACTTACATGGGGAGCACATGCAAACTGCACACATATTCAGATTTCAGATGTTCATACTAAAATCTCATCTCAGCGTCGTCTAATTTTTTCTGTAATCCCAACATTGTTCTTATAAATGGCTAGACAATCAAACATGAAACAAATTATTTATTCATATGGAGAATTAGGTAATAATGTAATAATTTGTGCGCCCTTGAGTTTATTTATTTTGTATTATATTAAATATAAATATTTATACAATGGCCGCTCTAGTACTTTTAAAGTGCTTACAACTATTTTCACCCATGAGGACAGGCATATTAGCATCATAAATGTGTGAAATATAGAACGGAAAGTGCAATTTTCAGGTGTTTTTCAATATTCATAGAATAGATACGATAGTTTAAATAGGACAATCCCTCTTTAAGGCCATTCGGCTATTTTGTATTTTTCCTGTATAAATGATTCGTACTAAAAGATGAACTACAGAGTGCAGGCATGTGTTCGCTGAAAATGCTTTGCCATGTGACAGACCTCATATACAATATATTTTGTTTTTGTGTCTCTAAGACATTATCATCCGAACAGATAAACAGGATGGCTGTAATAGAGTAATAAAAATGTGATTATTTATGACATATACTGGAGCAGAAAATATTTTGGTGAAATCTAGGAAATGCTTGAATGCAGATGAACTGCTCCTTGCTAGAAATGCAGTGACACTTTATTATAGTAAATCATTTAGGTGTCATTTGTGGTGTCTTAATGCTCAGGGTAACATTTTAAAATTGCCGTAAAAAAACAACTTGCCCAGTGATCAATATTTTGATAATTTTACCCCCAAAATAATCATTTATCTGGGAATGTTGCATGACAGTAATTATCACAGCCTATAGTAGGTTCCAGGCAGGGAACCTAAGGAGATCTTCACCTGGCCATCACGTACTGTATGTTCACTTTCCGCATGTCATAAGGAGTTTGCCTGCTGATGTGGAACCCAGGCCAATGTGCCTCGTTGGTTTTGGAAAGAAGCATTTACACTACAAGAACGTTTTTAAGACTGAAAATTCATCTTCTACATCAGTCTTACAGTGGACTCCTCAAGTGTCTGGTAGAATTGACACAGATCAGGGCTTTTTTGTTCCTGACTGGAAATTTGATCTTA